CACGGGGGTGCTTAACTTTTTTCCAGGTGTATATATACTTTTCTTTGTACATGGTAACATTTGAGTTGTGTGATTACTAAACACAAAATTCTTAAAACATTTATGGGTCAAAATACTCTGGTGTCCTGCCACATAATATGTTTAAATAACTGAAAGAATTCAGGTCCTCAAAGTATTCTACTTTTGACACATATATTTTTTCTGGACAGAATAAAACAACCCTGGTTTGGCTAAATATCTTTAGGTTGTGCAGTAAAATCTCACCTTCAAAATACCTTTATAACTGAAAATCGAGTTTATTTATATCATGATAACAGGTTCATTAGTTTTTTAAGTTTTCAATATTTACTAAGAGAATGCAGCATATTAATTATAATTAATGTCACACCAAAAGTAATGAAAGGCACTTCATTTGTCACTGAATAATTCTGATACACTTCTATCCATTAATGATACAGGAGAAAGGTATATTTAAACAAATATCTTTTATATTTAGCCAGGCAGCTAAATAAAAACATAGCATGAAATACATAAAAATTTAGTATTCCTTACATACTGAAAAATTGTTCATAAAGAAATAAGTTTAATTTCATTATGTACACTTTCAAGTAACATCATGCAAAATATTTATGAAGGGTATTTTCATGTTAGAATTTTTGTTTATAATAACCATTTAATAAACAGTATCCCTAAAGCAAAACAATTGCATGTGTGTGAAGCCAATCTTAGCAACCTTGCATGACAAAAACTTTGGAATTTTTTTTTCAAAAACATTTTATGATATTATAATCACCTCAAAACTATCATGAGATTGCTAATTAGGACTGTCTTTCAACAAGTTTTAATTTAAATCTTTTCAATTTTATGTTACATTTAAATGTTTTATGTATTTGGGAGTGAATAAAATAGCCCCTTCTAATAGGCAAATCTGGATATAGATATTTTGTTATAAAAGAAATATGCCAGAATGATGTTTAGTTTCTAACCACTCCCATTCAAAATGACAGCCTCAATTTTTCAAAAATTCATATCAAGAACATAAAAAAGACAATGAAGCAAAACTTAGCCACTTGTGATTCAAACATACCTTAGAATGTCATTATTTAGTACAAAATACAATTAAACAATACCTTTTATCTTTATATTTAAGGACAATCGTGATTTGTTTTAGGAAACAAAAGTACATGTTTAATTCAGAATGTATGATTTAAAACCTTCTTGCCTCCAAGTGTCATTATGACATGTTTTGGTGCTGTTTCAAGGTTAAACCCTTCACTATAATCCAGAACATTTTGGTGGTATTGGAATAGTTTAATATCATCATCATAAAATAGCAATGGAACTATTCTGAAAGTGTCATAGCTATGTATATTAAGTGGTTTCAATCTTCCAAAGTACTACTTCTCGATCTCCTCCTGCTGCTAGTAAGGGCAAACGACAATGCCATGATAAACCAGATCCTTCATTCAGTGTAGCAGATAAGATGGTCTGAAATAGAAATGTATTGGATATATTGAATAGAAACAATGCATATTTACAAGGTAATCTGCATTATTCTAATAAAAAGAATATAAGGGACAAAATATAATTATTTTTAAATATTAAAAGTATCATTGACAATGGTGGCTTGTCAGGTAAGACACTGTCTCAAATAGAACTTCTATGTCCCTATTAATCTATACATTTAAGCCAAACACTATTTTTTCATTTAATCATTAACTAGAGTTTAGCTGTAATAAAACATTAATTGTTTCTAAAACTTCAATCAAGCCTTAATATATCTTCAATTAAAAAAAAAAGTGAGTGTGCTTAAACAAATAACACTGAGCATGCTAAAATTGTCCACTGCTAAGCCAACAGGAAAGCTTGGTTTGGTAGTCTATAGACTCTCTTATAGAGAAGTGTAACATTGGCTCTTTAGAGACAAGAAGTTGTGAAACAGGATTTCAGTTGGTTGAATATGTAATCCTGTTTAATGTGCTCCTCACCTGTCACAACTTTTAGTATCCTATACATCAGAAAAATAAATCTGGCAAAATTGTGAAATAAATGTATTTCTACACTTTCTTTTTGCTTGAATGTACTGTTATACAACTATTTTTGCATTCTCTGTTTATTAAGTGTTTTAGATAGCTATACTTTACCTTTTAAATTTTATAAGAAATGGAACTACACATCTATCTTTATAGTATACTCAAAAGTACAACACTTTTGAGTTATGGATAAACATGTTAAACACTGTATGTTTCCTAACACAAAACATAACTTCTTGAAGTTTTTTTATAATTAAGTTAGACATAAACATTGATTATTTCCCATCTTATAATTTTTCTTTCAACTAATCTTTGTTGGCTTTCATTTATATACATTATGGCTACTTTTAATGTTACTTTTTAATTTAAAAATAATGAAAATATTCAGGGGAGGAATTAACAGGCCTACTTGTGCAAGGTTTCTGTTGCTAACTTTAATCTGATTTTCTGGTAAACCTCTTGTTGCAAACAGTTCACGATGTGAATGGGCAAAGCTAAAAGTAACTCCTCTTTCGATGTGAGCTGTTCGTTGTTCGAGTGGTTGACTGAAAGAACCATATAAATTCCTTAAATCATCATAAGCTAGAAGCTTCTCACAAACTTGAAAAATAATATGAAATAAAGTTCTTATAATTTTAAACTGATAGAAAATATAAAAACAAGTGCACTCAAATGCATTACCATTTACTAAAAAAAATACCACTTTCTTTGACATGTACTTCAAAATGTATAACATTACATGTGTTAGATAAATGTTACATTTGTATTTTGTATAGGTTATAAGAAATGTAAAGCATGTTTTCATTGCTTTGAAACACATGCATTCTAAACACAATTAGTCCTAGTCTAGGATCTACATCATATAACAGTTGAGATTCATTAACCCTTTTCAACCAGGTATTTTGTATTTCCAGGAACCAGGGAAAATATCAAAATTTTTTTATTTGATTGATTTTTTGTATATTGATGAAAAGGTCCTTAAAACCAAACAGAATTAGATTCAATGTGAAAAAGGCTTCAAACAAAGTATACCTGTATTGTCCCTGGGAATAAAATAGCAGGTGTAACAAGTACATTCCTATGGTAAACAAGAGGTTAATAACAAAGAGTTATGGAGCAATACATATATATAAACTTTCTGAATTACATTATACAGTGATGTCTACAGCATAAATTTTACATCAGAAACAATTTCTAAAAACATAAGTCTGGAGTGAGAAAATTACATAGGGCTTTTTGATTTGAAATGCAAAGCTCAAATTTACAGATTTCCACAACTCCTGATCCTCTGACGTTTACAGATAATTAGATTTTATGATCATATGATTCCTTTTTTTCTAGCAAACATCTAAACTTTTAGTTTTGAAAATGTTATAAACTACAAAGTTTCTTAACACATCTTTCCAATCTTTAAAATTTTGGAAGAAAAATGTTTAAATTTTAACTTCAAATACAAATGCTTTCCCTTAAGGTTTTATAGAATTACCTCTAAGTTTCGAATCAATCAATAAATAAAAAAATTCCAAAATGGAAAAACATTATTAATGAAGAAGAATGAGAACACAAAACATTACACTGGTGTTAGTTGTAGTTTAAAATGAAAGACAAAATTGTATTCATTATTTTTTGACAAGTATATTTTTTAATTGATAGGTGAAAAAAAAACACCAATTCAAAAGAAAATTATAAAATACAGTACATATAAGTGCACACACACACACACATATGTACGCGCATACTTATATTTAAGAACCAGAATTGCGAAGGTAATATTGGCTATCTTGTTAATGCAAAGCCTATATTCATTAAAAGCTATTCTACATACAATATTAATTTTCTTTTTACAGGCTTCTTGTTCTTGAAAACAAGAACACAGGATAAACAGTGGAATGCACAATTTTATTTACTTTCTGAAGACAAAAATAAAACATTTAACACAAAATTAAGCCAAACAATTTTTCAGATTCAATAGTTAAGCTTATCTATTATTCAATTAATATTTTTCAACTCACAGTTAACACTACCTTACTAGTGTATAATACAGAATTAATTCATCTATTACAGCAAAAAGTTTTACATTTACAGAACTTTAGAAGCATTCATAAGTCGTATTCAAAGAAGAATGTTTACCTTGATATGGAGGTGTCCCAGAGGAACCAGTCTGATCCTGCAACACATCCCACCCTCAGACTGTTAGCAGGGCTCCAATCAGCTGACAGCAAAGGCCTATTTGTGCATTCCAAAGACATGACAGGTTGCTGGGTTCCAATGTTATAGAATCTAATGACTCCTTTCTTCTCTGCTACCAGCAGCTAAACAACATAGCCAATAAAATAACACATAGCAACTGTCCTGAGAAAACAAAACTTTCTCTTTAACATAAATTTTACTACATTTCTGTATTCTAAGATACTGTACTTACAAACTTAAATTATGAATACAGCTATGGTGAATGTTTAACTACATGTTTTAATTTTAAATTTAATTTTCATAAACAATGACAACATATTCATTTATCGTTTGTTATGAAACTATATTTGGCATGCAAGTGAACTTTTTTAAAAAATGAGAGTCATAAAAATTACTTTGGAGTTCTTTGTCTCACCACACTTAATGTATATTTAAGAATACTCTACCTTGTAAACCTCTTCTGTGTGCCACCGTACACTCATGCCAGGTGACGTCAAGAACAGACGGGCTACTAGGTTCCCTTCTGGTGACCAAACACAGCATGTGTGGTCATCGCTGACACTAGCAAGTTGCTCACCAGTCTGAGGATCAAATGCTAGGTCATTGATGTAGTCACTGTGTCCTTCCACATGCTGCAGGTGACAAAAGTTTAAAACTATTTTCATATAATTTGTTTTCTCATATATCCCTTTGTTTCTAATATACACAAGTATATACACTATTTTGTAATGTGACCAAACTTTAATATAATTTATAACCATAACTCAGCTCTGGTTACTATAACTGAGCTTTCATATCTTATATGACACAGTGAAAATAGCATTCTTGAATATTTAGCCAAACTTAGTAAATAATCTTGAGAAAACTAAAGCAATGATCATTCTTCACACACAATGGAATAGTATATACACAGTGTTTTCATACTGTGTGCACTACTAAGACTACTACTAGGCCTAAACATAATCTTATGGTTTTCAGTAACATAGTCCCATGAGGGTAGGATATTCAGATTGATTTAGTTCTTTTTCTAATATGTATCATTCTTTTAATGGGATAAAATTAGAAATTTCTTTGTATTTCTTATTCCTATATTAGCAAGAATCTGTATGTAATTGTATAAATAATCACATTATTTTTCTTGGGGAGGGGTTATAAAATACACAGTTGTTATATCATGCTAAATTGTATTCAGTAAAGTGCAAAATTTGCAAGTTTCAGATATGATAATCAAATCTCTTTCAAAACCTCATTTTAGATATTACTAAAGACATTTTTTATACTGTTCACTATCTATGGGGTCCACATATTGAGTACTTTTGGAATGTGAAAGACAAGTTTCAATATTCAAAATTATACAGTAATGAAAGTGGAGGAGGGAAAATGGAGAAGGGCATATTTATCATTAGTATTGTCAAAAAAACAACTTGATACCTTAAATTAAATGTGTAATGGTAAAGGAGTTTTTTAAATAGAAATTTGAATTCAAAAATAGAATGCTATATTATTGCTACACTCACTTTGATAGGATATAATCATAAGTAAAAAAAAAATGTACATGCTTAAAAAACGTTGACCTATAAACAAGAGCTACAAAGTAAGAAGGGCAAAAGTTAAAAATTAGGTAAGTTGATTTATACATTTAAAGTAAATCTTCTGAAACATGAAGAGTTGAGGAATATAAAGGTTGGAAATACAAATTTCAATATTAGGCACAGTAAGTTTCAATTTTGGAAACCTATTCTTTTGTAAAGACATAAGGATGTTCATATATTATTGAAACATTTCCTTAAGTGAATAGAAAAGGAACAACACGAGACAAACAGTTTTTCCCTGCTTGTTTAGATGGGGCTATGTGAAGGACACTGTCTGTAAAATGAAGGTACTGGATATTATAACTTTGTGGGCCTGAATATCCAATACAATTAAGATTATTACTCTAGAGATGCTGTTCATACATTGGCAGACACCATTTATCACTTGAGTCATGACTGATGTTCTCCATTATATTACAATTCTTGATCTTATGTACTTCTCATTCTATTAAATTAATAAAGTGATTTAATAACTTATGGACACCTTGTATCTGTTAGATATAAACTTGTGGAAAAGCTTGCCTCATGTGCTGATAGTATAAATCCTTTTAAATGTTTGTTGACTTACATATACTGATGTGAAGGGCTCCATTTTTATTTTCATGTTGAAACTTCAGTTGTTTGTTTTGGTGGATGAATGGGTGGAAGATTAATGATTTTCTGTCAGTTTCATCTTTCTCATGTTAATATAACTGATTCATGTCATAATGTTTTACAGACAATATATTTTTTTTATGATATCACATTTGTTGATCCAAAATAAAAGTTTATACAGAGCAATGAAATTTGTTAATGGAAATAAAACCCCACCACCCTGATTCTTAGATTCAAACTCATTTAAATTAGGAAGTACAGATAATGGATGTGAAAGCATGACAATAGAAAAGTGTGTTTTTTGGAATTTTTTGTTTTAGGAAAGAAAATTGATTATTCCTCTCTTAATGCAACACAAAGTTTTCAAATAAACTATTGAAATGTTCAAAAACAATCTTATGAAACCAGTTTTAGACTCAATTTATGAATGTTTCTTTTAAATACGTAATTTAGAATATTAATGGTTAGTGTATTTATCAGAATTTTCCTGTGCTGGATAATATAATTCTGCCATGCCACACTTCAACTATATTTATATTCAATGTATATGCAGGTAAGCCAACGTAAGTATCTGTTCCATTTAAATTTCGTTCTCTTGCTCTGCATTTCATTAAGTCTCTTTAAATTACACATAGTTGGTATTGGTCTAACATTTTACAGAAATTGGCTTTCAATATGTAAACACCTAAATGCAAGAGCTTTTTCACTTAACAAACATTTTCACACTTACTGTAAATGGCTTCCTACAGTGTGTGTGACAAAATAAATAAAACCAGAGAAAAATGGTAATTTGAATGTATATAACAATGTAATAAACATGAGCAAGCAATTAAACCACAAAAACAAACAAAGATATCTACATTCTACACTTCAAGGCAATATAACCCCTATTTTATAAACAGTATTATAAACATGAAAAAATTATGTGTAAAAGCATACTATATGAAATTAATGGCCCAATGGAAATATAAAAGCACTCAAAGGGGCAGAACATAAGAACTTGATATATTTTGTCATCATCTGCATTATGTATATCCCAATTAATATTTTTTAATTAAAGGCACTTATGCAAAATACTGTCTTGTATGCAGGTTATCTTCATTTTACTTATCACAATAACAAATTTTAAATCAGCAAGTGTTACCTGGAAAAATAAACTCAAACGTTTGCCTGTTATAACAGCATATGAGGTAATACAAGGTTATACCTGCATACAGTTAAGTGATTTCCATAAAAAAGATAGATTCGTGGATCTAATTGTGCAGTGATTTGCAATGGGTGGAATAAAAGAGACAATACACAGTATTGAAGTTAAAATTAAAATAAAATAGAGCAATTTATTTACTGTAGTAAAGAAATAGATAGTTGAATGGTGAACACAAGTTGTCAACAAAGTGGCAGAAAAAAAAAAGATTATGGCCAAGCATATAAAGACAGCACAGAAGTAGGATGAAACAAGGACAGGATTTACATAAATAAATTTTGGCTCTCTTTAAAATGATGAACTGTTCTCCTCAATGATGCCAAAACTGAGGTGCAAAAATGTCTTACGTGTGACAGCTGTAAAGTATCCCCCAAACAGAATGTCAAGAAGGACACAATGCTACTATCTCATGAAACAGTTATTTGATCAATTAAGCCACAAAAAGTAACACATCAGTTTGAATTTATCCCGTTACTTCTACAAGATTTAGTATTCAAAATATAAATTTAGAAAAGTTTAAGAAATTTATAAATAAGAAATACACACTAGGGGAGAGTAAGATATGTAGTATTTGCATACTACAATAAAAATCAACCTGAATATTTAGTGAAAATTAATTATAGGGAGATCTATGAAATGAGCAAGCAGGAGAAGGGTGTAAGTCTAGAATTTAGGGCTATATGATAACTTTTATATGATAACTGATGCAATTTCTGGCAGATAATCAGTGCAATTTATAACTCAAACATGCATGAAATGATTAAATAAGAGCAAATATTTAGTGTTTTTGATCATAGGTGTATGGTTCATTGAGTAAAAGTAGATGTTAATATAAAAACACTAATGGACAAAAGGCACAGTAAGGCTGTATAGAAAAAGTACAGTATAAGGTAATGCACTTATGCAATTCAAATCTTGGTACATAACTGAAATCCTAATATGATCACAATAATTCATGAGCTGCTTTAAAGAGATTATGATCCTGGTTTACTAGGCTTATTGATGCAGAATTGTGAAAAGTTCTCTTGATGACCATAACCGTAATGATGAAAGCCACATTGAAGAAGAAACTCCAAAACCTTGATGCCAAGACTGCAGTGTGACATACAAAGATTCATTTTTCTTAGTATGAACAATAAAAGGATGCTGATTCTGTTAAATTAGTTCTATTGAAACTACTAGGTAAAGCTCAACAAAATTTTTTTTATTGCCCTGAAACAAAACACTATGATGGATGTTAACATTTTCTAACACTGAAAATGTATTTCTGATAGGTACTTACCTCATAGCTATTTTGACCTTTAGTTGCCCTCTAGGCATTGGTAAATCTTATGAACAGCGCACTAGTCTTCTATACCCCTATATTTTTTGCGTCATTGCAGCAACATGCGCTGATCATGTGACAATCCTCGACCAATCCCATTGCACCTTCTATACTAGCACAGGTAGCTCTCTCATTGCAGCACAACCCCAACTTTTGAGAATTGGCAAAGACAAACCTGAAAATACCAGCAAATACCAGTGAGGAGGAAGGATGGGAAGTGTATGAGTGGAGGTATTTACCTATTGGAAACACATTTGCAGTGTTAGAAAATGTTAACTTCCGAAATGGTACTATCACTTCTTCTCCATAGCTAGAATCCCACATTGGAAAGGTGGAGGGGCTGGTGAAGGCACAAAAACAAATAATCAAGTGGAGAGCGACTGTTATGAAAAAAAGCAGGTATGCCATAATTAAAATATGAGGCACACTTGCGGGATCTAGCACTACTTCTGAAACAGGTATGCTTTTCACCCAGTAAAGAAGATAAGACATGTAGGGTGGAAATGAAGAGAACACGAGGCTAGGGCTAGAGGACCGTATATGAATAGGCCAAATGCAGTCTGCCAGGGCAGAAAACATCCAGGGGAAGTGTATTGAGGTATAAAGTATTATGCTAGGGGCAGTCCAAGGAGAAAAACAACATGGAAGCACTTTGAACAAGTTTGTAAAATCAATAAGTGTAATCCGCCCAGGCAAAAGATAGCAAAGTGAGGTCCACCCATGCAAAAGCATCCAGGGGAAGCCCCATTGGTATACATTTGATTATGTCAAGTGTGGTCCATCTGGGCAAAAACATCCAGAGGAAGCATCTTGCATAGGAGATTTTGTGCTATATTGTATGTGTAATATGCAGCATAACAATGATAGAGAAATCAACAAGTGCAGTCCACCCGGCAAACCCATCCAGGGGAAGCACCT